AAGTGATATTAACTCCCGTTTTTTTTCTTAATTTTTTTCTTTCCCCCCTCCCACAGGGAGATTTTTTTTTTTTTTGGTTTTAGTGATAATCTTTAGAAAAAAAAAAATGGAAAAAATAGCATGTATTTACAGAGTATACACATTAAGGTTTTTTCTACGGTCAGGTAAAAAAACATGAAAAAAGAGAAATTTGTACGAGAAAAATTTACAATGTTTTCTTATATATAAAAAAAAAGGCTCGGAATTTAAGAATTTTGTGATATATATGTACAGTATATATTAATATGCGGCACTAGCGAAAGGAATTTTTCGAAATAGAATTCATACAAAGGATTATTAACGCCGTGCGATCTTTGAAAATTACGTAAGAATATTTGAGGAAGTAAAGTTTTCGAGTTTTCATAGAAGAAGTAACTTTAGAAATTTGATATTTCGACGTGATGATGGATAGAAAATCGGGTGTTTACTGTTTAAGGAATGTGTTAAGACAAGGTTCGATTTAGCGAGTTTACGTTTTAAGTTGGTCGTTAAGATATATTCGAATTCAATATATCTTTCGCGTGAATCTCGATACCCTGATAAAGAGTAGGCTTAACAAGCGATGTCGTTTTCGTCAAAATCGTCTGCACATTCATCGTAAACATCGCATGCGAGATGACCATCCTCGCGGTTCATGTCATGGACCGTTTGGGTTGCGGAAAGTTTCGGCGAAGACGGTGAATCTCCATGCTTATCATTGACGTTTGTTGAAATCTGACGTTTCTCAGCGAAAATATTATCGAAATTTCTGGAAGTCGAGCCGCGGCTGCAAGAAATGGCGGAAATGTTGGGCACGTGATGATGATCGAAGTCCTCTGAAGAAATTGAGGAGGTATCACTATCATCATTATTACGCGAACTCTTGCAATTGTGTTTACATGTAGCCGGTGAAACCGCAAGCCCGGGAGGTCGTTGTATAATCGATCCTTCGTTTGTAAGATTTTCATGAACATGTGACAGAGAGTTGACGCCATTTCGATCGATGTGATTTAATTGGTGTGTGTTTGTTGGATTCCTTGATCTTCTATGAGCTTGTTCTATCATTATTCTGTGAGCGAGTCTTTCATAATGTCTTCTTACACTCTCCGGTTCTTCGTACCACATTATCCCAATAATCTTTGAAGGAGGATCTATCGGAGGATTCGGAATTACACCATTGTCCATCAATTCTTTGCATTTTACCTTGTAGTATAGGGCTGTCGCGTTGAATGTTCTTTGCGATATCCTGGGATGAACTATAGTTGGACCTTTGGAAGAACTCAATAAACGGCGTCGTTTCAATAGATGCGTGTTACCACGGTCGGTTACTATTTTATTGGGTGTAATTCCGGCAGTTCTTTGCCTTAGAACATTAGAACAAGGGTCACGCGAAATATTACCGGCGGGAGCTGTTGACGTCGTTTGTCGAGAATCATTAGCAGCCAGACTGGACCTTAGTTGGTCACGGCAAACTAGGAGGGGGCGAAATCCATCTGGAATCCAATATTGCTGCATATTTTCTCTGTCACATGAAAACCTTTGAGACTGGGTTTGTAACATTAATTGTTGGGGAACCGAATTGGAGGAGACCACGTTCGGTTGTTGCAAAAGCTGTTCCTTTGGGGGATACACGAGAACTTCATACCATAGAGACTTCGTGGAACCCATAATGATGAATTGAAA